ACACACACACACACACACACACACACACACACACACACACACACACAAACTCAAAGAAGATCAGAGAGGCCTAAAAGATGGATCAGCAGGCACTGAGTTCAATCCCTGGAATCCACATTATTGAGTTATTGAAAAGACAGAACTGACTCTCATAATTTGTCCTCTGACCTCCACATACATCTTGCTCCCTGAACATGAATGCAAAATAAGCGAATAATAAATGAAAAAAAAAGTTTAAAAGATCATAGACTTAAATGTGGGAGGCAAAGCCATAAAGTTCTTTTAAAATATTTAAATGTGTTTCCAATATAATTTTTAGCAGAAAATTAACCTCAAAATGGTACCATGAGTCATCCTTTGTCTGATTTACCTAAGTGTCTGTCTACCTGTGCTTTGAAGAGACACTGAGAGAAAACAGTTTAGCAGAAAAACAAATTATAGATGGTAAAAGCTGAGCCCCTTCCCCAGGATCACCTCTAATTTATTAGTTAGTCTTGGTTATGTCTCTTCTGACCTGTGGGTATTTCCTCTATTCTGCGTTGGGAGATGCCTGTAAAACTGTCTGTAAGTGTGCCGTGAGACTTTCTTTAGGTGGTCTGTGAGTGAACACTTCTGAATGTTGTTTTGTATTTGCGTGAGGACTCTGAAAAGGGATATAATTACACATTTCCAGCTTTTAATTCTAAATACTGTGAAAGAAAGGTGTAAATTAAATAATCAGATTACCATTGATTGATGGGACCTATGTCTACAAGTTTAAAGCAGTCATCACTTTTTTCAGCACGGCGGAGTGATAATTAGCAGGAGACACAGTTATCAACACTTAGCACATAGACGTGAAGACGCTCACTGCTTGTTCGGAACAGATGGAATATAGAGCCATAGGCTTGTCATACATTAGGTAATATTATGCCTTGAAATTGTTTTCCAGATGTTTTTAAGGTATAATTTACATGAGCCACACCAGAAGTTTATAAGATGCAAAGCTACTTCCGAGGGGAAGATTTGTATAAAGTCCTTTTCAAATAAAGAAAAAAAAAAACAAAAAGAAAATTAGAGCGTTTTAAAAGAGTTAGACCATGAGAAATATCAACATTCTGTGAGGTGAAACAGCACATCATCAAAAGTAGTGTAGGACAGGTCATTCCATAGGTAGAGCTGTTGTCCATGAGGAAAAGTCTTGATCTTAAATACATATTTGGGGTCCGTGGAGCTAACTGACGACTCTGAAGGTAGGCTTCCCGGTACATGCTACCTTCAAGTAGAATGTTGCTTTCCACATAAGACTGCACTGGAAAGCCTACCTAAACAACTACGAAATTTTATTTCTTTCCTCATACAACCTTTTTGGTATGGTTTATAGGAATTTTGGGAAGATGAATGTCAAATATCATCACTGGCCACCTGTCTTCAAAAAATAGTGGAGATTTCATTACGTATTTGAATCTAGCAGAATTGGTATTAACCAAATTTCTATAACACACATAAGCAACATGGCAAATTACAAGGTTAATGTTTTCATTTACGTTTTTATATTCTGTTAAACGCTTTCTTCTTCCCCTCCTCTCAGTTACCAGCACATTCTCTGTTCACCTGTTTAACCATCTATACCTATATATTCCATCTGTCTCTTCCAAACATTTGAAACTTCAAGTTGCCTTACTTGAGGCTCAGACAACAGAATCTAGCATGCATCTGAATGACATATAGTTGGTAGGATTTATTTACTCTTATGTGAAATCAAAAGACATATCCCTACGTTTCAAAAATGTTATAAAGCAAAGAACAACTATATTATAAAACAATTATCCTAAAAATCACTTATTTAATGAATTAAAATACTATAATGCCCATAAACTCAAGACCACTTTTGAACTCAATAGCTATTTTTTTAAAGAAGTCTTTTATAGATATATTAAAGTGAAAATTTATGTCAGGTACAGTGAATACATGCGCTGAGGCTTTAGAGTCCATTTAGGAGATAAAAGCTATCTCACAGAGCAGATACCTCTGAACTATCCTGGAGGAAGACAGGACAGTGTTTGCCTGAACTACTGATGAATAAAACACTCTGGTCTCAAGGATAATCATGGTTAAAGCAGGCAGGAGAGATGCTAGTTGTTAAGAACAAGGCAATCTCAAGCCCCAGTTATTTATGGCAGATTATCAGGCTATAAATGTCAAGTTAAAAAGGGAGAAAAAGAAAGACCACAGATTAACAGGCTTATGTGTTGAAACTTCATGGGTTGCATAATCTAAAAACTATATAAAAATATGAACTAGGACCAGTAGGTAAATCTAGTAGAGACTTAGAGTCACTCATGGGGACTCTCACTAGCACAGTGTCTTTTTCATGGGCCTGGTTGTTTCCAACTTTCCTGTTCCTCATCTGACTACAGATTCAGCTTTCCAAAGTAAAACTGGTCTCCGGGTATCTTTGACACTTGATCCCTGTCCACACATCTTCTGATACTGCCACTGTATTGTCCTCTCAGGTGTGCTTTTCCAAGGGCTTATACTCTCGGGGCCAAGTGCTGTGTCTTGCTATAAACATTGTTGCTCTATGTTTTCTTCTCTCTTGACATTAAAGTGACAAAGTAAGTTATAAACACACAATTTTACACTACATTCATTGAAAAAGTACCTATATATCATGTTGGCACTGATGAATAACATTGTAGTAATTAGCCATTGTGCATGATTGGCTTATTTTTGGTAGAGAGACTATAAATGTAAAAACAAAACAGTAAGGGCATAAGTAATGGAAGGTTCTTGAGATGACTCAGCCTTTTTTGTCTTTACCATACCAACAAAGGAGTTTATATTCAGCAGAAACTGTACTTTAAATTTTGAATTTGATTTATTTCCCCCTGGACTTACCATGTGAAGTTTACTATTCTCTTGAGTTGCGGGGCAGTGATAATGACTGCAATTTTCCAGTCAGCCACTTATCAAGAAGCAAATAACCAACACTCTACCTTGTACTGTGTTGCTAAGTTATGGCGTGTGGTGGGTTGGGTATGTAAACGCATTTTCAGCTCACAATGCTCTTCAACTCGACAATGAGTTTATCCAGATGTACTCCCATCCTAAGTACAGGAGGGTTTCCATTTTTTGTGGTGAAATATTCCACAGAGCAAGCAAAGGGGAAAATAGTGACAAAGCTATCCTGGGTCCCCTAGAGCATGTAGCATTTGGGACGATGCAGAAATAATGGAAAGGAAACATGTGGGCAGATGGAGCACATAGACGCAGTACCTGGGGTGCTACAGTGGCACAAATAGGGGTTCTCTGAGAGAAAAAGAGAGCAGGGAGAGCTGAAGCCCGGCAGTGAAGTGACAAGGATTGGTGGAAGCTAGGACCTTACAGTTCTGTCTTAAGATAACAATATGATTCTAATGACAGTGGGAGGCCATTCAAGAACTGTATCCAGGGAACTGATTTACTGGAAAAAATACTAAGATTTAGGAGGTCACCGAATAAGAACAAATGTCATGATAAAGCTCATTAGGATAAATAACTTGTAGCTCGAAGCTTTAAAATGGAAAATAAGATTAACGTTTTCCTTTGGAGAGAGGTTTCTGCTGAAACTCAACCATTCGTGTGTAACTTAGATAAAGCAACACACATCAAAAAGAGTCATTAGCGGTTTTAATTACCTAAATTTCTTAAATTAAGGGGTGCCTTGCTTCCCTGTGTAGCAGCAGTTACGGTCTTTGCTCTGCTCGGCGCTTTGTACTGTGCCCCCACCAGATGTTATTCTTATTAACTCAATGAAAATAGATGCAGGTGACGTTGCAGGTCACCATTGTCGATTCTAAACATATTCACCCTCCAAACGCTCGTCAACAAGACTAGCATCTGTCAGAAATAAAATCGCCTCTAGTTCTGCTTGTGCGCTCATTATCCTCTCCTAAGTTCCATCGCTGCTGCATTATTATTCAGTAAAAGCTGCCTTCTCTTTTTTTCTTTCTCAAAATAAGCCCTCTATGGAATATCATTTCTATGTGGACAGAGATTTCCCAACCAGCTTAATATGCTCCAGAGGACATATGTGTGTTCTAATGATGTTCTGTGGGTCCTGTCTTTACTTTTAACCCACGTCCTGCCAATTGGCAAGACACCTTGCTATATGCCGGTATGGGAGAGTGCCTGACACATGTGTTTTCTACATCTGCACAGTACTATTTGGCACAACTGCTACCTCAGCTTTCAGATATCAGACCAGATATCTGCTCACTCTTTTGCATCCGGTGCTGGTAAAAGTGAGATCAACTCAGATGACATGAAATTATTACGTATTTCTGTTTTAAGAAAACAGATGTAGATGCAATAGTTACTCTTTTGGTCAGGTATTCCATGGAAATTTTTAAGAAACTTAGGTATCATCTTCTTATAGGCTGTTTCTTTGTTTTTTTCCAGAAAATGCTTCCAGACTGCTCACTTTTATTTAGAAGACAATACATCCCCCCGAGTGATATCGACACCACCAACACCCATCTTTCCAATTTCAGGTAATGACCTAGAGTGAGCACAGGAGGAGCTGCTATATGCTGAATAAAAAAAAAGTGATGAGGGAAGGCTTGCCTTTACTAGAATATTTTTCAAATATCTATAATGCACATAAGTAAATATTTGTGTTACTAAAATAAGTGTTATATCATGTGTCAGGCAACCAACCACCTTATATACTGTTCTCATTAATTTCAAACAATCTTAATCACAGAGATGATATGACAAAATAATTAATAATTATTCTGGCATAATATGTAGAAAAATTATTAGGAATTAATGTTAGTTGAAAACAATTATTCTACTTGGGTTTTTGTTGTTGGAATTAAAAAACATGACAGAAAAAAAAATCTTGGGGTTTATTTTATCAAAAAATATCCAGTTTATAGTTCATCACTGAGAGAATCGGGACATGAACCCAAGGCCGTAACCTGGAGGCAGGACTTGAAACAGAGAACATGGAAGAATGCCACTTCCTGGCTCACCCTCCATGACTTGCTCATTTTGCTTTGTATACACCCCAGGACCACCTGCTTAGGAGTGGTAATGCCTATAGGAGGTTGGGATATCTCAGCTTAATAATTAATTTAGAAAAATTTTTCACAGACATGCCCAATGGACAGTCTGATGGAGGCAAATCCTCAGCTGAAGTTCTCTCATCCCAGGCAGCTCATTTGTGTCAAGTAAACAAAAACTAACAGCACAATAATGCTCTTACTCATTTCCCTTGCTGTAGAGGAAGCCTAAGACAAAATGCTCAGACTAACTCAAAGCAATAAATGTGGAAAAATAAAAAATAAAAATAAGGCTAATTAACTCCATGGCTGGCTCCTTGACCTCCCCCACAAGGGAGGAGCAGCCTTGCTAGGCCACAGAGGAGGACATTGCAGCCAGTCCTGGAGGTCCTCCCCTATCAGTGGACTTGGAAAAGGGCAGGGAGGAGATGAGAGAAGGAGGGTGGGATTGGGAGGGGGTGGGGGAGGGGGATACGGCTGGGATACAAAATAAATAACCTGTGATTAATATAAAAAATTAAAATTAAAATTAATTAATTAAAAACATTTAATTCCTGTAGTAGTTAGGGTTTCTATTGCTGTTATACAACACCATGACTAAAAGCAACTTGGGAAGGAAGGGTTTATTTCATTTTACAATGATCAGGTCTTATGCCACCTGAGGGAAGTCAGGACAGGAAAGCAAGGCAGGAACTTGAAGGCAAGAACTGAAGCAGAGACCATGGATCAACATCACTTAGTGGCTTGCTTCTTAGAGCTTGCTCAGACTGCTCACTTACACAACTCAGACCACCTACACAAGGCTGGCACAACCCACAGTGGGCTGGGCCCTCCCGCTTCAGTCATTAATCAAAAAAGTGACCAACAACGTCGGCCAATCTTAAAGAGACGTTTTCTCAGTTTAACATTCCACTTCCCAAATGGCTATAGTTTGAATCAAAATACCCTAAAACTAAGCAGGACAATTGCCACCCATCTCATCCTGACATAGATACACATACTATCAAACCAAAACATTTCCTTTGTTGTTGTCTCCAACAACGTAGAAACACGTGTTCCTATGATAAAGACAACATATATTCATATTATTGACAATATAAAATGTTCTAACTTTTAAAAGTTCTACAGTCTTTAAAAACTCAAACACTTAAAAAGTTCAGTCTCAAGATGGACGTGGTGGCACACGCCTTTGATCCCAGCATTTGGGAAGCAGAGGTAGTCAGATCTCTGTGAGTTCAAGGCCAATCTGATCTACAAAGTGAGTCCAGGATAATGAGGGTTCTGGTACCCAGAGAAACCCTGTTTCAAAAAACAAAAACAAACAAACAAAAAAACAAAACAATAACAAAAAAGTTCAGTCTCCTTTGAAGTTCGATTCCTCTCTAAAAGTAATTTCACAATTCCAAAGCCTTTTAACTGTGGGCTCCTGGAAAACAGAATGAGTTACATACTTCTCATTTCAAAGAAGGGAGAAACAGGGTATAGTTAGATCAGATCAAGCCAAAACTAAAATCTAACAGTCTACAGTTCAGTGTCCTACTGCTGGGGACTTATGATCTTCTGGGCTCCAAAGGACCTTGGCAGCTCACATCTCTGGCTCTGTCATCCACAACACATGCAAATGTAGGCTCAGATTGGCTCTGCTCTACACCCGCTGCTGTCCTTGGAGTTCATCTCATGGTAACGCTATCCCCAAAGCAGCAGGGCCCTGCTGCATCCTGGCAGTATGTTCCCCGTGGCCTCTCCTGTGGGCACACTTCCAGAACTCTGACCATGCCTTGCTTCTCTTCATGACCCTTTCAATCCTTAGGATTTGGGTACAATGGAGGCTCCACCTTCACCTGGTCCCTCACAGGGCCAACCCTCAACTTCTCTTCATGAGCCTTTCTTTTCTTCCAAACCAGTACTACCTGGGAAACTCTTCCATGTTACCAAGTTGGGCTGCCAGTACAAGGACAGCACTAGGCCCATTCTGGACTACAGCTTCTGTTGGTTGACTCGAGGAAATACTTCCCAGGAGATTTTTGCCTCAGTGATGCTGGTCTCTCCTTAATCACAGCTGGTTTTCCAGCTTGAGGTGACCAGATTCCTCACTCAAAATATTAAACATCCCTAGAAGGGTCACTAAGGGACTCTTGGATTTCCCTCTGAAACTTCACAAGCTATCCCTCTGTCATTTACACTGCCCTCAGCATAACCATCCAAGCACTGAGAAAATGCCAAAGGACGTCAAGGATTAAAAAATAAAATAACAAATACACACCTTTAGTCCCAGCCCTCTGGAGGCAGAGGCAGGTGGATCTCTGTGACTTTGAGGCCAGCCTGGTCTATAGAGCTAGTTCTGGAACAGTCAGGGCTGCACAAATAAACTCTGTCCCAAACAAACAAACAAACAAAAACAAAACGGAAAGAATACAAACACACATACACAAACACAACAACAACAGCAATTAATGAAAGAAAAAGGGAGCTGTACATGAAAGTGTTTAGAGGGAGGAAAGGGAAGAAGAAATAATACGATCTCAAAAAAAATAAAAGAAAATTATTTTTTTAAAGAGAAAGGAAGGATGAATTACTTTTAGAGCGGAGGAAGAAGTATAAGAAGACAGAGGTCGGGAAAATGACAAGGTTTTTACAACCAAGGCAAGAAAAGAGGCTTGTGCTCCTGTCCTGTTTCAAACTGTTTAGGTGCTCCACAGACTACTACCAGAGACCTGGATTCTGCATGTTGCTATCTTCTGAAATCCCATTAACAAAATTTTTTTAAAAAATAATCGTTTTTTCATTTTTCTTCCTGGGGACTGGAAAGCTCCCAGATGTCTGTGGAACTGGGATTTCCTTCACATACCCCATCATCATGGGCTTTGAGACTTGCTCCAGTATTAGCCGGAGGCCAGCATGGTGTGTTACTATCAATAAAATACAGCCGTTCAAAATCAACACTTGTCTAAGAACTCCCAAATCCTGCCCCTTGGGTGCCCAAAGAGCAGTCACCAAAGGCAGCTCCTCTCGCTCCCTCAGCCCTGGAACACTCACTCTTGATTACAGGGGTGCTCACGCTTCATGTAAAATCAGGAAATTTTAGTCTAGCTTGCAGACCAGTTGTCAAAGAACCGGGCGAAAGACATGGTGTGTCCGCAGTGCTGCACACGCTGGGCGTGGCAGGGACCTCTGGGTCTGAAGGACATTCCTGGGAACCAGTGGTTTAGGTGTGACAGATCATTTACGTTTCCCACCTAATTGCAAACGCTACTTTCAGGCAAGATCTTTCAATAGGTGTGAGCGTGAGAGTACACCTGGGTGGGTCTCAAGCCTCACTGGCTAACTCAACGTTAGTATTCAGGTCCACTCACCTATGAGGGAGAACAGATGGATTCTAATGTTTCTTAATCAACAAATTCTTAGTAACTGAAGCTTAAATTTTTTAGAAGGCCTAAATGCTAAACATCTGTTAATGTAAATAACTACTTCTGGTGAAATGTGTTTGATGCTTTCCTTGTTAGAGAAACCGCTTGTGAAATCATATACGGTGAATTACTATGTTTAATGTCAGAAAAATCTGTCCCAGAAAAATAAAAAAAAATGCAAGAATGCTTAAAATAATTTATCCTCTTCACGAATAAGTTGACTTCACTTACATGGTGTATTTTCAAGTTAAAATTTTTGAAACTTTACAAATTAAAAGTTCAAAGGTTTATATATATGTATGTATATATATATATATATATATATATATATATATATATATATATATATAAAGTTGGTAATTGCAATTTAGTTGGATTATCATGGTTCAATTTTGAAGTAATTTTCATCAATACCTTGTAATGGAAAAGATAGTAATTTCTACTGTTATCCTTTCTAATGTGCTTTTTTTTTTATTCACTTAGATGATATTGGAGCAATTCCAATAAAGCATTTTCCAAAGCATGTTGCAGACTTACATGCAAGTAATGGGTTCAGTGAAGAATTTGAGGTATGATTTAAATATGTCTGTGCTAATAATATCAAGTGTAGTAAATTTCAAAGATTCATGAGGGAGCTACTTCATGATGTAAAGACATTGAAATCACTTTTGTTTCTAGGAAAGATATGATATTGGTTCCATAATTACATATGTGCTTAGGAGATGTGTTTTAGTTACTAGCTTAGAAGATTGGCTTTCTGTTTTAAAAGCAGGCTTGGGCTAGTAGAAGAGACAATCATAAATGTGAATTCTCTCCCATTAAGTACAGACTGTTAACATTTCTTAAAACCTAAACAAGTAATAGTGATTAATTTTCATTTTCTAAATTATATAAATTATACTAAACTACTAAACTTGATGATTCTCAGCAAAACTAAATATAAACCCTTAATTGTAATTATGACACCTACACCAACACAAACTCGGAAGCATTTAGAAACGTTTATTATACAAAGCAAAATCACATCCACTTTTCAAGAAAACATATATTTCAAAAATCATTTGAACTTTATAATCAATATTTTTTTTCTAATGACACTGTTAAATGTTCTTAAAAGAAATGAAAAAGTTTACTGCAAGTGTCCAGCCCACTGAATTATCACTAAAGCATACTTCTCAAAATAAGGAGTCATGTGTCCCAGGTAAAATAATAAAGACCACACACACAAGGAGCTGCCTTTTCTGAGTGTTATAGGTTACTGACCAAGGGCTTCATACTCAACCTTTATCCACTTCCAGGAGTCGTGTTTTGTTATCCTGGATAATATGAGAATAATTGATGCAATCAAACTTCATAGAAATTAATTCACAACTGCTAAATAGTAAGCTGGGCTTCAGATCTCAAATCCTTTCCATTAACCTTAACATTAAGGAAGCAGTTGTCAGACTCAACTCCCCATCACCCAGGCTGGGAAGCACCACACTCTGCATGTCTTTCTATGTCTTCCTCACTCCCCACCTCCACAACACTCCCTCTCTTTAAATGTCTTGGAGCTCTGATCACAGGATTTCTTGTCCCTTGATTTACTCTGTGTACCCAACAACTTCTTACACCCAACAACAAATTCCTAGGAGTCCTGCCAGTCAATAACACAGGGAAGGAGGAAAAGGCCACACAATAGAAAACTCTCAAGTGAGTAGAAGTGAAATGTGCTATAGTATAGTTTCATGATTAAAGGATCATCTTAGCTCTCGTACTATAAGGCAGAGGTGACTGGAAGTACAGTATAGCTTCAGTTTTAACTTTGCTGTTAGACACCTGCTCCTTTAACTGATGGGATGGACCAGGCTACCACCAAACAGAGCTATAATTCAGCAGGGGAAAACGGGTGAAAATAGCTCTGATTTCCCAAAGGCACAAAAAGAAATCCTTAGCAAAAAAAAAAAAAAGTTAAAATTGTCTAAAGGTCAGTCATTAATTCACACCTATCAAGCCATCCTGAAATTGTTCAACAGTCCACAGAATTAAATATGTAATAACCACATTTCTGCTCAAAATATTCTCCTGATTCCATTACTTTTAAACTCAGTCTGATTTAAGAAAACTTCATTAACTGAATAATTACCCCAGTAACTAATAAAGTTACACCTTTTAAGGGGTTCATCTACTAGGTTGTTTTTAGTCATTCAGAGTATCTTGTTGCCTTAAGAGCTTTCATAGGGAAGAGTTGGAGCATTTGCAGGAGGCTAGATTCATCTTTGGGTTATGTTTTCTCCAAAATTAGAAGGCTTTTATTTTATTATCTCAGTTCTAAATATTTATAAATCATAAACTGATAGTTTAGGTAAGAAACACTTCTGGAAAAGTCTTTAATCTATTTTAATAGAAAGTTAGACAAACTGTTTTTCTGTGCCCATTGAAGTGTGGATTTTTTTTAATGTTCTACTAGTTAATCTATACAATGTAATGCTTTCTAATTTCTTTTTCAAAATGACAGTGTCTGTGATTAAAATTCTTTTAGGAGTATTTAATGTTTTGACAACTCCAAATATGTTATAAACCACCTAACAGGAAGCTAGTTTTTCCATAAATAACTCAAAAATGTATCACTAATTCAGAGTTTCAAATAGTGCTGTTAAGGTCAATTCAAACTATATTTGTACTTTAGCAAGTCCAATTACTATGACAAAATGGGTTATGGGATATGTGGTTCTTATTTGTATTTTAAATATTCATCATACCTGCATCCCCATGTAAACATGCTATTTTTCCATTTACATGATTAAGGTTCCAAATTATTAGGCATTTTGATTTGCATGCAACTGTTTGAAACATTCTGTTGTGTTAGTATGTGACAAATGTATTTATTGCATGATCATAGTTTTCCATTGTAAACCTAATATGAACACTTTCTTTTCTCATTTGTCGTGTGCTGTGGAATTTGATTTCTTTACTTTTTGGGCATTCATTTCCTCATTAGACACTGAAAGAGTTTTACCAGGTAAGGCATTATCTCACTGCATTTTCTTTTAGCCAAGAAGTAGTTGTAACATGTAAATTTGCATATACATTTTTTTTTTTGCTAGACTATTTTATTTGCTTTGTCTTCCTTATATTTAAAGGCACTTGTTTTGAAAGAACTTATGCTACAATGCTATACATGCCATTTTTTTTCCAGGAAGTTCAGAGCTGTACTGTTGACTTAGGTATTACAGCAGACAGCTCCAATCACCCAGACAACAAGCACAAGAACAGATACGTCAATATTGTCGCTTGTAAGTATGTCTTCACATATTGCAACACCATCGGCGCTCTCCTGTTGGCTGATGTCCACACAGCGTTTTCCAGTGGACCTCAGTGGGGTTGTGATCAGAGAGGGAAGTTTTCGGCCTACTAATACTAGCATCTCACTGGAGTCACTTGAGCACATGCTGCCATCGAAGGCATTTCTTCCCTTTATACAGAAGGAGCTTCTGTTTTAATCCAGTCATCTCCTCATGCCATGGACTGTATTTCTCTAACTGAGGGTCCGGCCAATGTTTATAGTTCACAGGCCAACTTCTACTTAGGATCCACTTGCTCTTATTGAATTTTTTTAGCCAGCTGAGATTCTCTTGGCTTACTCTTCCTGTTCCTACCTCTGCTTGCTTCCACACTTTTTTGGACTTCTTCCTGGGTTTTGCAAAGGATCCACTAAAGATCCTCTGTTCATTCCTTCTTCCATGTTTTCTTAGCTGCATTTTTCTTCTTGGCACTTCTATCCATAATGCGGTTTTATTTCTATCTACCTCCTATCACCATCTTTCTTCACTCCTGTTACATTACTTGTTCCTCCCTCATCTCCTCCCATCTGAACCCACTCTTTTCCTGTCTTTCATTAGAAAAGAACAGGCTTCTTAAAAGATAACAATAAAACATAACAAAATAAAATATAATAAGAAAGCAAAAACTATCACATCAAAGTCAGACAAGGTAAGCCAACGAAAGGGAAAGAGCCCAAGAGAGGCCACAAGAATTAGAGACCTGCTGGTTCACACACTCAAGAGTGCCATAAAACACTAAGCTGAAAGCTGTAATACATACGCAGAGGACTTGGTGCAGACCCACGCAGGCAGGCCCTATGCTTGCCGCTTCGGTCTTTGTGAGTTCATAGAAGCTTTGCTCAGTTGATTTAGAGGAACTTGCTATCCTGTGTCCTCCATCTCCTCTGGATCTCACATTCTTTCTGCCTCCTCTTCCCTGGGGCTCTCTGAACTCTGAGGGGAAGTATTTGATGGAGGCATCTCATTTACAGCTGAGTGATCCAAAGTGTCTTTCTCTCTCTCCCGCAATGTCTGGCTGTGCGGATCTTTGTATTTGTTCCAGTGTGCTGCAGGAGAAAGCTCTTCTAGTGATGAATGAATAGGGTACTGATTTATGAATCCAGCAGAATGTCATTAGAAGCCATTTTATTGCCTCTACTTTATATTTTTTAGGACCAGCAGTACTTGATTTCGCTCTAGGTCTCTGAGCTAGCCAGTGTCTTGGTTTTGGTCATCTAAGCAGTGTCAGGTATGGGTTTCATCTTATGGAATGAGTCTTAGGTCAAGTCAGACATTGGTTGGCCACGCCCACACGCTTTGTGCCACCATTGCCCTAGTATACTTTGCAGGAAGGACAACATTGCAGATCAAAGGTTTTGTGGGTTGGTTTATATGCTTCACTTTTGGTGGCCTGCAGAGTACCCCCTCCATGTCTTGAAATCTGGCTTTATGTTCCTTCCGCCCTCTAAGACGAAAAGGATGTAAAAACTTAGCTCCTTTTGCCTGTGAGCTTGGGATGCATTTACTACATGCCTTACCACAGGTTTCTTAAGTCCTCACTTCAGTCTAGTTGTGGGAGCATACAGAACTGCATGGTTCTCTCCTTAATTATCATGCTCTCTTCAGTAGTTTCCTTAGCTGCTGCCTTCTTTTCTGTGGCATTCAGACCAGCATTTATCTTTTTAGCAAAAGATTATATTACAGATTTGTTTCTTTGCCTAAGACATTTATCCTGGTTATGTTAAGAGGGAGCAGAGATTTCCATACCAACGGTACTGTTTTATTTCCCACCTAAAACAACCCGTAAAAATGGTACTAGGAGCTCTATTTTAGAAGTGCAGAAAAAGAAAAAAAAAAACAAAACCCTAATTTAAAGAAAGTATATTAGGTCCAGAATATAGAAATAGGTGAGCCTGCATCCAGACCCATCTTTCATGAGCCACAAATCTATTTACAGCTATCTAAGTGTCTGTACTCAGGCAGCCTGCTACTGTCAGGGAAGCACCAGTGCTGGGAATATTCGTGGAACTGCTATCACTTGGTCAGCACGCGCATCCTCATCCTTGTTTGGAGCCCTTCACAGAAGCTGCCAGGGGTCCTTCAGCTTCTGCCACCCCTGCCTCTTCCTCTCCGGCTTCCCATTCCGAAGGCATCTGCCACCGTCCTTCCTCAGCTCCGTGAAGCTCCCATCACCTGTCTGTCACTCTGCTGTTCCAAGTCCCTGTGACATTCTTAAGAATGATTCAGATTCCAGCTTCCTCTTGGCACTGTGCTCCTCCTGTCTAGGCACCTGCAAATCACTTTCTGTGATTTGCCTAGTCTCACTGCACTAGAGGCTGTCTTAAATTTGAGATCCCTGCCCATTTTTTTTTGTTGTTGTTTGTCAAATCAACATGCCTCAATACTTACTAAGGTATATTATTTTGTGTTGAACTCAATTTTGTGATAAAATCGTGATGTAAATATAGAAGACCATTATTATGAACAGCAGTCTGTACTTTAGTGAAATATATTCTCTTTTTGTTTCAGATGATCATAGCAGGGTTAAGCTCGCACAACTTGCTGAAAAAGATGGAAAGCTGACTGATTACATCAATGCCAATTATGTCGACGTAAGCATATTTGACTTAAAAATCTCATGGAAGTTTTGCTAAGCCCCGAGTTTATTATGCCACAATGATGGACAGAGACCATTGTATAATAAATGTTATCTGATATATAATGAAAATGCAAACAAACAGCGGATAAGTGGTAGGAGACCCTGTGGCTGCAGGACTTTAGATCAAGTAAGGCTGCTCTTAGAGTATTCTGTAAAAGAGGGAGGGGATTTAGGCTAAAACATACGTTCCAGGTAGAATGTGAATATTCAGTAGACTGATACCTCCATAAGTGTGAGGGTAGATCTAGTTAGTACTCCGTTTGAATTTTTCCATAGTTCCTGGCACAGAAATCACAGATGATCAATAAATCTAAGCTGAGAATTTCACACGGTAGGACTGAATAAAATGCCAGCGGTATTATGGAGCTAGCAGCCGGCCTCTGTGGTTTTAGGCAACCTCAAGACCTCAACTTTGTTGCACTGTTTTGAACTATAGATTAGGCATCATTTACTTAATTCTCCCAATGTGGTCGCCTGGATGCCAGCAGAACTCTGTGATTTCCCTGGCTCTGGTTTCACAGTCCAACTGTCTTCACGTTAATGCTACATTTCAACACTGAACTGAGAGACGTGAGTTCCTATGAATAGAGGGTGTTCAGCAATAAGAGCATCTGCTTCCTGCTTCCAGAGGAGACCACTTCCATGCCAAAAGAATGCAGACTTGGGAAATATAAATGTGCGCACCTCCAGCTCTGCTACTGCAGCAGTGATACTGGGCAGTCATTTAACTCCTCCAAGCTTCAGTTTCCTCCTCACCAAGTCAGGGCTGATGCTTCCCTTTGTACAGAAGATCAACTAGAGCAGTGTTTGCCAAGTACCAGCCCAACACTCCTTTTCCCTAAAGAGACAGCTGGTGATGATCAGCCAAGTTAGGTGTTTCCAAGAAGAAAGAGGCCATAATTCTAGCACTTTCCTAACTATTGTCAGCTAAGCCTTATTGCCTGAAAAACATTTAAAAATAACACAATTAAAGACTGGACTTTAAGCAGAGTAAATAGTTTTGGACCAACTATATCCAGAACAGAAATGCAAGTCTGTGTTTGTCTCAAAGAGAGTTAGTTTTGTACAAAATTTAAAATTAAGGCAAGGTGCTATCTTTACCAGGGCTATCAGTGTTCTACAGCTTTGCAAGTTCTTTGTGAAGTTGTCTAACATTGAAAAGGAGTGCTGACCTTTAAATTTCACAATTTTAAATAACCGTATACTCAGGTAACGAGACATACTTGTGATTTGTTTCTTTAGGGCTACAACAGACCGAAGGCTTACATTGCTGCCCAGGGGCCACTGAAGTCCACAGCCGAAGACTTCTGGAGAATGATATGGGAGCACAATGTGGAAGTCATCGTTATGATAACAAACCTCGTGGAGAAAGGAAGAGTATGTAGTCGTGTCATGACATGACATTAGCTGGGTGCTTTTAATTAGTTTATTTTGTTGTTTTCTGAGACAGGGTTGATCTTGATTTCCTAATTCCCCCTGCCTCTTCCTCCCAAGTCCTGGAATGACAGGGCTGTGAAATCATTTCCAGCTACTTCTAATCTTAATACAGTCCAAATTAGAAAGCATAATAAGTTATGAAAGGCCGTCCGCATTCTTTCTAATTATTTTTTATCTTTAGTTATGAGTATTTTGCCTGTGTGTACATCTGTGCACCAGATACAGGCCTGGTGTCCGTGAAAGCCGGAAGAGAGCGTTGGGTTCCCAGGTACTGGAGTTACGGTTTGTGAGTTGCTGTGTGGTTGCTAGGAATTGAACCCAGGGCCTCTGAATTAGTAACAATTGATTAACTGCTGAGCCAGTTCTCCATCCACATAGTATTCATTCTAGTATGTATCATGACAACTCAAAGGAAACTGCTGATATCAATCAAAATGCTTCATTATTAGGGATCAAATTATCTGCTTCTTCAATGCCTTCTTCAGAGTGTAAGTAAATTGACCTCATGAAGAGCAATTTAGGTTTCAATTCGTGGAACCTAGATTTGAGCACTGAGGTTGTGGTCTCTCGGTGCTCTCTGCTTCACTTTCCTTGTCTGAAGAGAACAGAGTGGGAACAGATGACCCAACGTTTCTCTTTTCTGACCTGTGATTCTGATGGTCCAGAGGGATCATCTACGACTACTTTGTCATCCCTTAAGGCGAAGAAAGAGACAATAGTTTAAAAGTTTAGAAGTCCATTAATAGGACTGGGGAAATGGTTCAGCTAATATAAGTGCTGGCTGCTCTTCCAGAGGATCCAGTCTTGAGGGCCAGAACCTCCATGGCAGCTCACAACCAACTATAACTTGAGTTCCGAGGGATCCTGGGCCATTTTCTGTCTTCCTTAGGCACCAGGTACACAAGTGATACATAGATATACGTGGAAACCGCCAATACACATAAAATAGCATACAATAATAATAAAGAGTCCATTTATGCCACTGTCCCAAACGTTTACCTATTTCAAGCGTGACATGCATCTTGGATGTTTGAAACATATAAATTGTGTCTTTATTTTTATTTTTCTTTTACAGAGAAAATGTGACCAGTACTGGCCTACTGATGGTAGTGAAGAATATGGAAGCTTCCTAGTCAACCAAAAGAATGTTCAGGTGCTTGCTTATTATACTGTGAGGAATTTCACCCTAAGAAACACAAAGATAAAGAAGGTAAGTGCGTGACGGTTCCTGTTGCTGTGTTAAGCTCCAAGCTTGATGAGGAAAGGATTTGTTTCTACTTAGCAGTCCAGGTAACAGTCCCTCCCTGAGGGAAGTCCAACAGTACAATTCCAATTCTAGTCCGTCACTGAGGGGAGACAGAAGAAACTCAAGGCCGAGCAGATGCCACGGAAGAAAGCTGCACGTTGACTTGCTCCTGGTGTCTCTCTCAGCCTGCTTTCTTGCAGCACCAAGACCACCAGCCCAAGGGTAGCACCTCCCACAGCAAGACAGGTCCTCCCACATTAGTCATCATTAAGGAAAATGTACCATTTGCCTTCTCTTTTGACCAGTCTGGTCGGGCATTTTCTCAATCCCACTTCCAAAATGACTCTAGCTTGTATCAAGCCAATGTAAAAACTATTCAGTAAGTTATAAATAACAGGGCATATACCACCAACAGACAAACTGAGAAAACTGGAACACATACTCACAATGAGATGTTATTTAGCCCTAATAAATAATGGCATCTGTGATTTGGATAATGTAAATGAACCTCGAAGACATTTTGTTAAGGGACATGACCAGGAACAGAAAGGCAAACATGGCGAGATTTTATTTACGTGTGGACTCATAGAAAGGAAGTCAGACTCATAGAAGTAGAGAGTAGAATGGTAGCTGCCAAGCTGAATAAAAAGAACTAGCGTGGTATTGACCAAAATGTGCAGGAAGAGATCAGCCAAGAGAGCTGTTGTATAATAAGGTGATTATAATTTAAATGATGCATTACAAACTGAAAATATCCTTAGGATAGATTTAAGTATTCTCAAGAAGCGTGTGAGATAATGCATATGTCATTTGGCTCTACTTAGCGATCCACAGTGTATCCAAACTTAAAAGATGCTTATACTATATATTCTAAATATTCACAATTTCTATCTGTCCATTAAAATAATTTTTAAAATAAATGATGGATGTGTCATCAGTTGTTTAGTGCATTCAATGTTTATTTAAATAAATGTATGATTTTTCCTTGCTGGATTTTTCTTGCTTTGATAAAACATTGATCAAAATCAACTTGGAAAGGAAAGAGTATAGTTTTCTTACTGCTTTTCATCAAAGAAAGCCAAAGCAGAAACTGAAGCAGAGATCATAGCAGATACTGCATGCCAGCTTACGCCTCGCTGCTTGCTCAGCTTACTTCTTTATCCAGCCTAGGCCTGCATGCCCGTGGATGGCACTGCCTACAATAGACTGGCCCTTCGAGATCAGTTAGCAATCAAAAAATTGTCCCGACAGACATGTCCAAAGGCCAATCTAGTGTAGGCAATTCCTCAGGCAGGGCCTCTCTGGACACAACTGGGAAGTCCTTGACAACCATGTTTAGTCACCACAGTGATAAAAAGCAAATTAGAGTAATAATTGAAGATATGGAAAACTCTTAACACAATGGCATCTTAATCTCAGTGATTTCTTCTACATGTCTAAGCATTAGTTATGCCTTTTGCACCAAACAGCAATGGTGCCGCTGGTTGCAGTCGACTGGCAGGTGAAAAGAAATTTCTGTCCCATGTAGACTCTACACACAGCGTAGTCCTGACACAACCCTATCACCCACCTGAATGGGTAAAAATCAAAATAAGTGAAGCAAAAATACCCAGGGAACAATATGTTTCTTGAGGTTTTCACAAGAAATAGGAATGATGATAGGTAGATAGATAGATAGATAGATAGATAGATAGATAGATAGATAGATAGATACATACATACATACATACATACATACATACATACATACATACATACATGGATGGACGGACGGACAGGCAGAAAGATATGGATGAATGGCTAGATGGATAAGAGGGATGAGTGGGTGGATGAACACTAGTGAATGAGCATGGTTACTTAGATGGAGTTTCAGTTTGGGATTGATTGGCGTGATTTTGAAAATGACCAAGTATGAAGTCTGTGGGGGTAGGATGAGAGTCTGGAAATTCAGGTAAGGCTTGCCCGGGTTAGAGCCCAAATCATCAAGACTTTAGGCTAACATTTCAGTTTCTTTGTTGTGGTCTTGAGAAGCAACTCTTCTTAAGGAAACCTCAGCCTTTGCTTTTATCTCTTCAGCTTCTTGGATCAATCTCACAACATGGAAGAGGAGGTGCTTTACTCGATCTACAATTCAATTTTTATTCATATATTATAAAAATATTCAGCCAGATCTAATAAAAATCAGAGACTTAAAAAAAAAAAAAACCTGCCATACTAATGACAACTGTCTAGCTAAATGGGCATATAAAGTTGACTATCATAAATAACATAGATGTATATTTGTATAAACATATATATATATATATATATATATATATATATATATATATATA